CAGAAATCAAAGAAACTTTTTGAATGTATATTTGTGTCTAGATTACAATATACTTTCAATTTTTAAATGGCCTAATTTACTGAATTACTTTATCCTACATATTTAATTACTAAGGTTGTATAAATCACCTAATATCTGAATTACTTTATCCTACATATTTAATTCCTAAGGTTGTATAAATCGCCTAATATACGTATTGTAGTGAAACCTTGGAGATTATTATGGGCTTGACATGTAACTCAAATGGCATAGACATTGAAATGTGCTATTTATTTTGGTGCAATACCCTCTTGAGGAGCTGTCATATATAACAAACTGAAAGAAGAAGGGGGATTTAACATTAAGACCGATCTTAGAGTAGTGGTTTTGAGTATACAAGGTGATGTGTCCAATAATAGGCTTTGGTATTAGGATGCTGAACTTCCAGATTATATTACTGGAGGATTTTTCAGTAATTAGATACCTTCTTCAACACTTCATGCAGAAAGCAGGACTGTTCCAGCTTCATTGATAAATCTGCCATTTTCATACTCATCACTGTGAGAACCTCACACCTTACTCAGATTTAGTCTGTTGGATCAATATTTTAATGCACTTTTAGAGAGATATTCATTCATGGTACATGTTCTCTTCATTCTTGACTGTTACTTACATTTTTTTTCCCTGTAACTATGTATTTTGTGTATAAGATGGGTAATGTTAAAATTTATCTGAATGAAATATTTTTTGGTGCCTGGAGGTGGATGGTGTGATTTCAGCAAACGTGAGGCATATAACAGAAACTGGCATCCAATTTTTCATGTATGACATAAGGAAACTTATATAAATCCTGCCATATTTCTATCTGTAGTAAACTTGAAAAATCAGTACTTCAGCAGAAGGAACCAATTCCAATCCACAGATATCTCGAGCTTTCTGTGGTGTTACCGTGGTTACCATAGATACTACTACCTAGCACAAATGATATAGTGTTTATGTGTTGCTGTTGGTCATGACTGCTGTCGTTCACAGTATTATGTAGTGGTGTTTTGTGGTGTATTCCGATTTGTGTTTCCATTGAGTTTGGACAAGAGTTTTGTTATTTTTATGAGTGTCTATGCTGCCTATTCGAGTATACTTATATCATGATTATGGATTGTGAATTTTAGGAACACTTGAATTTTTTTGTGATGAAATTAAATGGAAAATATGCTGGACAGATTTTTAAATTACTTTTTGGCCCGTTTTGGTTTTAAAACTGGGATAAAAAGGTAACACATTTTTTATATTCCGAAGTTTGTTTCGCCTCTTTATACTCTGAAGCGATTTTGATAAATACAACAGTAAATGGCATTCATAACCAGAGCATCAGATAAGTTGGCTTCACAATTTGACTCACTATTTGTATTTTTCTTATGTACAACAGAAAGAAAAAAAGCGTTATTCTGCTGTCTAAGACAGTATTGTCTACTCTCCGTCTTTGGTTATTAATATTTCTGTAATAGTAGACTCGTTAATTTCTATTAATTTAATTCGATTAGTTATCGATTGAATATTCGAGTGTTTCATTTACAAGTTGTGAAAAGGGCGGGCGGTATTGACTTTGTTTCCACTCATGAAGTGAATGGCTGTTGAATAGATAAATGTAGTAGAAGTTACTTATACTAGTACTTTATATACTCATTATTTATCATGTATGAAAGAATTTTACTTCGAAATGCCATCACGTTTTGGAATCGCGATATGCCGCGGAGGTATGTATACACGCTTTTCAACGCACACACCATGAACTGTTCATATAGCACAGTATTTAATCCACATTTAAATAATTATTTTGGCCGGTGTAATATAATATTGCTGCAAGATATCTGTTGATGGCTGTAACAACTGTGTTGGTATTCATTATTGTATTTCTGTTGCGACTACAGTCTTGGTTTGGGCTATGAAGGATCTATGGCATAGAGAACACCTTTGGAATTTCATTTCGGTACGGTTATTAATATCTTGTAAGCCTCCTGCCTAATGGGTATCAGGGTCATTTCCCCAGGGGTAAAGCACGGCCAGGGTTTAACGCTGACCACTCACCCCTATCTACCACCAAGGGTAGGAATGAGTAGGAGCTATACCTCCTCTCTTCCCAAGTGCTTACATGGCATGTAATGGGACAGCTTTAATTTTTGCAGTTTGTTAGTGTTTCTTGTGTATCATCTGTTTCAGATCAATAGATGATACTGAAGATGATGAGTTGACTGAACGAAGTCCTAAACAGAGAAGAATTGAAACGGCTGAAAAGCAGAAATTTTTTACATCTGATCGTAAGTGTAGCATTTTTTGAAGGTTAGATTTACATGTTATAGGTGAAAAGGGATATTTCATTTTATACAGTATATATTTTGATAGAATAAATATTTATGTTAAATTAACTCGTGAAGTTTCTAATGAATGCTGTATTGTTTTTCTTGTGATGCCATATTATATTTAGGACTACGACAGTACAGTAATGGTCAAAAGGTGAACCTTCATTTGTAGTGGAAAACTTTAAGTGTTTCTGTACTTGACTGAAGTTATTTCATTATTATAGCTGCTTTGATTTATTAAGTGTAGTAAATACATTTTTAATTGTGACTAAATTTTGCAATCAAATTTGAATATAACTTTTAATCCAATACAAGGCAAAATACACCTACAATAATGAATATTTCAGTTGGACAACAGATGGAAACTCATTTAATTTTTTAAATGTAATTATTAATATTCTGATCTCTCGTAAGTCAGTTACTCGCCCCCCCCTCCCCCAAAAATACATCAAGTTCTGGGATCAATTATATATGTACATGAGGCACTGGTGAGTATGTTCATGACACTCACGCGTATATTTTATGTCTTTGTCGTAAAATGCCTATTTCTTCCAGAATTTTTGCGTCCATCTCCTAATTGGAGGATGCCTAAGAAGAGACCTGTAATTAGTTGTCGACAGCAGCAGAGACATGTGGTGAGATAATAGAATTATCCATGCAAATTTCTGCCAGACTTTCCAACATCGTAATAAACAAGAAGTTTTGGAAAGAACTTTCAGTCTGTAGTTTCCTTTAAATTCCAGTAATATTTAAATACCAGTAGGAATTGTAGGTTAATAATTAGATAAGTCTGTAATCTATGTATTTTAATGTTTATTAATACTTTAGTAGGGTGGAGCGGGGATGACTGTTTAAATCGCTAATGAGGGGTAATGTACGGATAGAAAGTGTACACGTGTGCTAGAAATGTTGCTGGTACGTGCGGAAATATTAGACATTACTTTGGGATATTTGACTTGCGCTGTCATGTTGGAATTAATACTAGCTCAAACAGTAGTTTGAGCAGTGATTTATGTGCATGTAGATAATAAGTAGTAAATTTTTGCAGGATATGTCGCAGCCATGCGTTCAGGTAGACGGTCCGCAGCCAGGATGTTCATGGTTTGATGACCTAAAGGAAAATATTCAAGTGTCAGATGATGAGGTGTGTTTTAACTCGGATCTCTTTCACAGTTTTACTGTACAGTTACAGATTTAATTAATCTAAAAAATTATGTTCACGTCTTCTTGGATTTGCATTATAGCTGTATGTTCAAGCACGTCAAGAAATTTACTTAATTGAATTTTTAAAGAATAAATTGAACTTCTCGGCTTATAGATAGTGGTATAGAATATGCTTAACTTCTTATGAATTAATACATTACATATGTCAGTTTTGTATTAATGAAATTTGATTATTAATTTTCATTGCTTAATCAGGATGTAGATGTCCTGGGAGTGTGGCAAGATGCCAACACTTTGCGGAAACGTAACGTGTTCAAGGCAGGCAATGATGTTAAGAGGACAACATATTCTGCAACTTCTCAGTCTGTTGACAAACCTGATGAGGATGACATTCAAGTTATCAAAGTGGTGGGATCTCATAAAGATGAAATTTCACAAAGCGGAAATACTAGTGAGTATTTTTTAACCCCTTTTCAGGTTGATATTTAATTTCTTTACAGTTTTATGGTGATTGTGCTATATTATAAAGTTAATTTTGCTTGATTATTTATTTCAGATTTAAATAATTGAACACAGCATAAAAAGTAATCAGCTCGCTAAAATATGTTTACCAAGTTCAGTTTCTAATGTGTCTTTGGCAGTTGTGGATCTCGGTACATTATATGAATGAGACACAATTCAAGCAGGTTTATAGTCGAGTTACTGAATCCCATTATTTATTTAAATAAGCTTTACACAAATAATGGAATTGCATATTTCTTAAACCGCGTATCTTCATTAAATTTAACAGACTGACAAAGTTAAGTAAAATGAAAGAAATGTTACTTATTGAATTAATTTTGATATGCTGATTCCAAATTTGGACACAAAAGGTTTTCCTCGTGTTACGGTTCTGGAAAAAAGAAAAACTAATGATAATTTTTATACACACAAAAAATAAGCATCGCTTATTAAATGTTGGCATGACTGATGGCCGTGTATCACAAGCGTGTGCGTATCAGGCGCCAGTCATAAACTGTGTAAACTTTGCTTTGCAAAGTCATTTTTCATAAATTTTCTTTTTCAGTGTCTATTTTCCAAACACCATCTGCAAAATTCCCACCTTTAGTGAGGCACTTTGCTATGGATTCAGCCAATTCCTGCAGTTCGAAGAGGAGTCAAGTTCTGCCGCACCCTAAGTCTTCACATTCTAAATTCAGTCAGGATAGCAACGGGAGCCACAGCTGCGCGTCCTCGAGATCCAGTCACACAGAAAAGGGGAGACTGAAACTTGCTCTCAGTGAGGTAAATGTTTCTAACGAGTTCATTTTTACTAACATTCTTATTATTATTATTGCGCCATCTCCGAACGAAGGTTGGCGATCCACATGGCGAACATTGTCCTCAAGACTGCCGCTCGAAAAATGTCTATTGTGGTGCATCTGAACTATTTTCTTAGGTCTTTCATCCAGGAGTTTTGGGGGTCTACCGATGGATCTTTTTCCTTGGATTTTGCGCTCAGTGATCAGTCTTAAGATCTCATAGCGTACTCCTCTCATGATATGGCCCAAATACCGGACCATTCTTTCCTTAATGGCAAGCAGTAGTTCCTTTTGCTTATTCATGCGGTTGGGAACTTCGATGTTTGAGACTTTTTGCACCCAGGGTATTCGTAGTATACGTCGATATAAATACATTTCGAATGCCTCGATTCTTTTCTCCATGGGAGAATCAGGAGTCCAGCTCTCGCATCCATAGAGAAATGTAGGAAACATGTAACATCTCAGCATTCGAATCCTCAGTTCTAGACGTAGTTCAAATCTAACATTACAGCAATTAAACAAGAAGTTTTTAATTTGTTTAATTTTTTTCTTGCAGAGTTTCCGACTCGAAGAGAAGGTGCAGTATTCAGAACTGCTACAGAGGTTTACTAATGTCCCCCTTCAGGCACAAAGTAGGCATCACAGAGCAATCTGGAATCCGTGGTATGTATTCCTTTTTTTTTAAAAAAAAAAATTAATGTTTGTTATAGGTGTACAAGCTAACTAGTTTTTACTTCACGTTTAAACCTTCCAAAGCTTTCAAGCTCCAAGATCAGACTTGAATCTTGATCCTGATATGTTAAAGTATAAACCTGTCTAAAATCGATTTGTAAAATTAATGTATGATGGAAACAGCAATGAGAATGCGTAATTAGAAATCAGAAGACACCCGAGGAATGTGTATTTCAGCCATTTTTAGATATGCAAGTATCTCTCGGAACTAACATGTTTCCAAATGTTATAAATTCTTATGTCAAGGTTACACTGTGTCACTATAGGTCAGTATGGTTTACCCCAGTGGTGCCCGCAGGCGCCAAGGCTTTTTTTGGGTGCCCGCGTAGATACGGAAAGAGGTTATACTGAATAATGAAGGCCGTTCAACCGTGAACATTATAAAATCAAAGCACAGATCTCTACTTATTGACGCCCATCTTGACGATTGTTTGCGAGCAGCAACATCATCATACACTCCCAAATTTGAAAAACTGGGCGATGAAATGAGTAATTGAGTAATAATAATTGTACTTATAAAAGTACATATTTTTGATTGCGTGGTTTCTTGTATCATTAAACGCCGTGTTGTTTTGCGTATTATTTGGTGTCCATATCTTATTTGTCCGGAGAAAATAAAATTTGGCTTTGTTAATTGGTTGGTCCCCGCCACAATCTCATAAACTCTCAAATGTGCCCGTAGGCACAAAAATGTTGGGGACCACTGGTGTACCCTTTGATTGACAGAAGTTATACCTGTGTTCTAGCGTCAGCGAAGTTAAGACCAGGGGTCAAAGTTCACAGCATTCTGACTTTGCTGGACATGCCAGGGAAAAACTAAGCAAACAACTCCCTATAGTGATCGACCTTACAAAACCACAGCAATGCTGGCCTCTGCCTGGAAAACACATACGAGTTCGTAGGGACAGAGAAGCAGAGCCGTACACTGCAAGTAAGTTTCTGATGAATTTGGCTCTCTTCTGGGTTGTAGCGCCGTGTAGTCTGATAGAAGTTTACCAGTGTTTCGAGGTACTTTTTGCCTCCATCGCCACAGCCTCAATAATGCAGTTCTGTTAACAGAACGTTACTTGACATTACGTGATCTGCGTAGTTGAGAAAGACTTGTTTTTATATGTGGCTTTTCATTTGCAGCTTCCAAACAAGATGAAGATGAAACTCATAGAGAATTTTGCTTCAAGAGATCAAATTCGCTGGCAGATGCATTAAAATCAAACTACTTTTGTACTGAAGATTTTCTGAGTACTCTGTAAGTGAACTTCACTTTTTTAATGTTTGTCCAGGGGGAGGGGCGTACTTTAAATTAGTAAACGAACTCGTGCTTTGATTGAAATTACTGGTGTCTACAATTCCTCAGAGAACTGAAGCAACAGGCCAAAATCCCCATTACAACATACGCATCTTGAGCGCAACGTAAATTTTATTTACTGTTGCTCGTTGTTCGAAGGCTGCAGTGAAGATCTTGGTTTGGAAAGATGCTACTGCAATTTTTATTTTCTACGTGAGAGAATGTTTCTGTCAAAGTGACCAACATCTTTCTAAATTTACGGTTGAAAATAGTTTAGTAATTTCCTGTGAAAAGACATCCCTTCACCCCTTTAAGTTTTAATACCTTTTGTCGTCGTGTAAGGTTTTATATTCTATTGGGTCATTCAGACACAATAAGGAGGTAACATTTATTTGGGTTACTTATAATCTTGTATTCTTGCATCTCATATAGCGATGAGAAATACAAAAAGAAGCATGAAGCAAGAAAAAGGCAGGAAGAAGAAGAGAAAGTGAAGGCTACACATTTTCATGAACGTGAAAAGAAGTTGCAAGTGGAGTCACTAGAACGGATGGCAAAATACTTAAAAATAACTGATGCCATAATTGACGACGATGTGATTTTTGAGGAGGAAAAACTCGTACTTCCTGAGCTGACCCCAAATATGCAGGTGCGTTAGAACTACTAGTATGTATGCGTCTTGCGAAGTGTTAAATGAAAACTAAAATTTTGTGGCTTTGTTTGCTGTTTTTATTTCCCTTGTTCTGTCGTCTTCGTACAGGCTGTTGTTGATGATGCACTGATTCCCAAACCACCTAATGAAGTTCTTGTTGAGGCGTTTGGTTTACCTATAAAGCGACGTGATATGCAGACTTTAGCTGGTCTCAATTGGTTGAATGATGAGGTAAGTTAGCAGATTTCTGTATGGAAATTCAGTGAAACGTCTTACAGTAAGGTTTATTATGACGCGTATGGTTATAAACATCGAATTTCTTTTGCTGTCATTCAGGTACTGTACGTGGATCAAACGTAACTGTCTCCTTTGCTCATTTCTGTAACCAGATGACAGTTCTCAAACTGTAGCGATTAACGTCTGGTATCTTTTCAGTCAGTTTTACAAAGAGTGCATTTGTAGGAAATATAAAATTATAACGTTATTTGTTGCAGGTGATAAATTTTTACATGGAGCTTTTAAAGGAGCGTGGAAAGCTTGAGAATTACCCGTCAGTTTACGCTTTCAATACATTCTTTTATCCAAGACTGTTATCTGGAGGACATACCGCGTTAAAGAGATGGACACGAAAGGTACTGTTAACGTTATTAAATAACTTGTTTATGAATTGTTTTTGGCCAGGTACGTGCCCAGTCTCAGAAGTGGACGGTTGCCTCCAGAAATGCTGAACTTGACTGCGTATTCAGAATTTTCATGGCTATTCTCCACATCTGGAGGTCACCTGTCGTAATAAATATGTGATTAATTTTATTTCAGGTTGACATATTTTCATATAACCTCGTTATTGTGCCAGTTCATCTTGGAGTTCACTGGTGTTTGGCTGCCGTTGATTTTCGCAACAAGACTATTAAGTACTATGACAGTATGGGATCTTCGAACTACAAGTGTTTACAGGTAGATAAAATATTATTATTCTTCCTCACTTAAGAACGGTGAGGGTGAAATGTTCATATTCATCATCTTTTACCATAATTTCATTGGAATGGTGTACTTTGTAGCATATGCAGAAGTTCTAGAGACATTCTTTACGCCACATCCCTTGGGTGTGTATCGAATAGTTTATATGACCGTTGATAGATGATGGCACGATCAACTAAAGGACGTGATAGGTGGATGGATAGGGAATGACGATGATGGTTAGCATACAAGTTTGTTACTAAAAAATGGTTTAAGCTTGTAAATTAATTATGCTGAGTTGGAAAGGCTATATTATTACATTGTAAAGTAGAGCGAAGCGTCCCGCTACACGCCTATTGGCGCTTGGGGGGAGTGGAGGTATAGCTCCTACTCTTTCTTGACCTTGGCACTAGATGGGGTATTTGTGGCTTAATTGATGGGATTTTTTTCTTTCTAGAGGTGTGTTTTTTTATTTATTTAAAACATTATATACCTATTAATTGTGGTTATTGTATTTTATGTATTATTATTTTTGCAGAGCTTGATGAAATACCTTCAAGATGAAAGTTTAGATAAGAAAAAGACACCATTTAATACTTCTGGATGGAAGACGGAGAATGTTCAGGTTTGTCATTTGAAATGTACACCTCTAATTTCTTTCTTTGGCCTGTGGTATGTGTCAACTTTGTTTAAGCATTATAAAACGATACAGCTTGTTCCATATTGAATATATTCTGTGTTGTATAATGTACCGCTATTTGGTACGTTCTTCCACCAGGGTTTTTAGCAGCTTCTTAATCTACACTATTAATTTTAAATGACATGTTTTAAATTTTAAACTTTTGCAGTCAGGCATTTGAACATTTAAACTCACTTCCTATTTTCAGTGCAAAATTTAATTATAGTATCTGATTACAAATTATTCTTCTTAAGAAATATGTAGTCATATCTTTGATAGGGATGGGCAGATGCTTCAAATTATACAAAGTTTCTAATTATTCATTATAAAATTAACAAGGTTTTTTTCATACATTTTGTTGTTACTGAACAATGTACATTTTAAGTTTTCTTTCCCTTTCCCATTAATTTTTTATTTCATTTTATTCCATCCATCCTTACTTTTTCCAGTATTAAATTAAAATAATCTTCAGTTTATTCACGTTTGTGACGGGAGTGTTTCTCAGATTAATTCAAGGAAATGCAGTGAGAAGCAAACTTAACGCACAGGAAATACATCTTAATAGATTGTTTTACTTTACAGTTTCTGCATTAACAGTTTTTATTTATTGGATGAAATTTTATATTAGTTTTCATATATTACTCAGGATCTAAGAGATTTTCAGATACAGGCATGTTTTCATTTAAACCGAGTTTATTTTAGGCAGGTTTTGACTGTGCATTTCAATTGAAATAACCAGATTTCTTGTTTATTTCTACAGAAAATCCCACAGCAAATGAATGGTAGTGACTGCGGCATGTTTTCGTGCATGTACGCCGAGTTCATTTGTCGCAATGCCGATATAATTTTCACCCAGGAGGATATGCCATATTTCCGCCGTAAGATGGTGTATGAGATTTGCAGTAGCAAACTTCTTATGTAATTGAGAGAGAGTAATGTGTGGTGATTAAGACTGCAGTATGAGAATTGCTGTAACCTATTTTTCTTTCACTTTCGTTCAATTTACAGATACGTACGTAATATGATTTATATTAATTTCATGAAGGTTGTAAGAAAATTAATTTTAATTAATCAAAAACGATCATATAACACCATAAGAGATTTTCTGACTCAGTTGGCACTTCCTATGCGTGCGTTTGGAAAACAAGGTCTCATTTTTTTGTGTAAGAAGGATTTTTTGTTTATTGTAAATATTACAGATACCTTTCTGTTGCTAAGACTGCGTATAGTATAATTGTAGATTATATCACTTAAGTCTTGAAGATTTTGAGAGTGAGTGAAAGGACTAGAATTTCCTCTGGCAATCAGCAATGTCAGTTGGTAACAGAAGTTCAACGTTTCAGAGACCTCAGGTATTAAGTAGGATTTATTCCTGATGATGTTGGATATCTGCTCCAAATTAATGTGGCTGATTACCCAAGAAGATTTTATCACTACCGGTTTTTTTTTTAATATATATCTGAAAAAATGTATCCCTGCTTTATGTTGCTGCAGAGCAGAACTTCAGGTAGGTTTAAGATATAATACAACTATTTTCTGATGATGCAACTGTTATAGTAAATTGTCAGGTGGAGAAATGGTCCATTTCTTGATCTAGTTTGATTATTCATTTATGTTGGAAGAGAAGTGCCTTGAAGACTGTGCATATGACATGATTTTTTTTACCACATTTCATAACCGCATTTAGGATTATCATTGTTTGGAGTTCATATTAAAAATTAAAAAGTTTGGTGGAGTAAGTTAATTTGAGTAAACATTGAATGAATTTTAAAGCATAATTAAGCTTTAACCTCACTTTTCAGAGGATATTCAGATTAAAAGAAACATACACATTGCTTAAAATTTTGTTATTGTTATTATCATCATGAATATTGTGCTGTACTAAAATTTGAGTAGCACTTTGTGTTTAAGATTTAGCATTTTCATAACCATGCCTATGGATATGAATTTTTGAGAAAGAAGCTCCATCACTATGGCTTATCCAAAATTTAGAAAATACCTGCTTTTGCCAGTACAGTATTTGTTTAAACATGTGGTAGGATAATGCAGAGTAGGAACACTGCAGTTGCAGTTAAAATTTTATTTTAAAACAGGCCTGTTTATCTTGTCAACCTGTCAAGATGGTACATTTTGTCATATACAGAATGGGTACACCATACATAAGTTACCAAAACAGTTTATTGCAGAAACATTATCCTTCATACAAACTGGAGCACCAAAAAATGACTAGGGTCACCAGTTTTGTACAGTTAAATGTATTTTTCTCTGAATTTTTATTTTTAATAGTTCAAGGTTCTAACAGGGTGAAGATGTTAATTATGGTCTTCTGTGCTGTGATGCCACGTGGTCTCCTTTGAAACATTGGCAAACTCCTACAAAACTAAATGGCATCACAGTATGGAAAACCACAATTGATACAATAAAAACAAATTTGTTAATTTCTGAGCACAGCTATTTGTATGTTCTACAAAATCGGTATAATGTGTTTTGTAGCAACGTGTTCTTTATGAGCAGCAGCATTGTAAGTAAACGCCTGTAAGAGAAGTATTTTCTAAATGGATAAGCCATAGATTTTTTTATTTATTATTATTATGTGATACAGAAGAGCTCTGCTAAATATCAGACATTTGACTGTAAAATTTGTGTTATGGAATAATTACATATAGTACAGTAATTATTTTTGTAGCATAGAAAGTATTGTTTTCTTCTAACAGTGTGATATGTGTTGATTGTGGTCTAATGGGTTGTTGTGTGGTCTTGTAAAAGTGGTTGAGAATGTGTAAGAGGTGATACATTCTTCAGAAACTTTGGTAACAATGTACAAGACTATGGCATCAGAACCCAGTTGAACAAGGTTGACTTCTTCACCACTATGAGAATCTGAACATTCTGATTTGGAATACATTTTCATATTAAAGACTTTCATAGTTGCATTGTCTTCTTCATAATTTTCAGTATTATTCGTTTTGCACATGACATGTTACTTGTAATTATTGATCATAAAGGAAAGTGAAAACTATCATCTGTAATGATTGTAAAACTGAAATATCTCCACACGTTACAATCCCATTCATGTTAATGCTATTATTTGTGTGACATTTTAATTTAATTTTTTATCTTATATAACTTGGTTTCATTATAACCATGAAATGTAATGATAAGAATTGATCTTTGAAGTGTGGATTACATACTTTCAGAAGTTTAAGGGATCAAATATGTTAGTGAAAAACAAAAGGCATGATAGCAGAAACCCTAGCCAATAGAGTCAGCACGAAATTTGTGAGATCACAGATGAAGAGGATTTGTATGTGTTCTTTGGGACATTACGCAGACATTAAATTTATTTTATTGTCTGTGCCTTTTAATTTCACACTGTCGTAGGAGGATGTGCATGGCGCGTTTTATTGAAAATGTGACGGAGGTAGCAGCTTACATCACGATTTGCTTTCTACGTAAGTACACATTAATCTATAAAATAATGAGAAACAACCCTGAAATTAGGAAGTTGTAATGTACGTGCATTATAACAATTGAAACAGTATTGTTTAATGATTTACGAAGCATTAAAACATAACCTCAATAAATTTTTGTACGTCTCTAACGGGAAGCTTCAAAGTGAACGTAATTTATTCAGACACCGTTTAACCAGAAACAAATTTCTCGCAAATGTAGCAAAACCAAAAACACGATTTACGTGTTAATAAATTGAGTATTTTAGTATGTGTTTTAATAATTAGCTGAGTCTTAGAGCTCCTACACCCCTTTTCCACAAATGACACTGCATTATAATGTAGTGAAACTGTTGTAAATTGTACTGGAGAAAATTGTATTATACTATATTAATTCTGGAAAACGATTACACCAGTATAATTATGACAGCTGATGTGAAGGAACCTTGTTAAAATTAGATTAGTTCAGTTTAGGTTTGTGCTTAAGCTTATTTATGACTGGGAATATACTGTCTATATAAAATGTTAGTTGGAAAACTGGAGATCTTGCAGTATATTAGGAGTAAATGTTTGTAAGTGCCCTATTTATAATCTTATTAACAGTATTTCGTATATTTACTGTTGATTTTCATAATAAACTGGAGTGTGATGTTTTAGGTTCTATTGATTTTTATAAGGATCGTAATAGGGTTTTATTTTATTTACTGTATGCTATACTTTTATGGTAAAAAGTTCTTTTGATTGAACATTTTCTTGGAAACTCTTTCTTTCCTTTGTTTGAAAAATGCAAATGGATAGGTTCAGCTGTGGAGACAGTGGGGCAGCTTTCTTTTGATTGGTATCGCACAAAGAATCGAGTCATAGCAGGAGAATTTCATTTTAAGGCAATTCGCCTTTCTTTTAGCATAGAAAGAGTTAGTATGCCATCTCAGGATTTGATTAAAAGGACCAAAGAAAACCATGAGTAATATCAATACCAATAGCCAATTTCATGGCCATGATTCAGCCTAACCTAACCTCCCAGATAAGGAACAGGTGTTAAGTTTCATGATATTGGTAAGTGATTAAAATATGTAACATCATCAGTTTCTTTAATGAGATTTTATGTCCTTAAATCCATGCAAACATGAATAAGAAATTACAACTTGAACATGTAAATTAAACTTATATATATCATTAAATAGTTTTTCTCTAAAAGTCATACAACAGTAAAATATTTGTCTAGACACTTATGCTATCTTCATAAATATAAATAAAGTCAGATAAAACAGACTTAAATTAATGTTTATATTATGTATAAGTGGTTTTATTATCAGGATTTCAGAATGTGTCGTTCATGTTCTGACTGGCAGAAGGTAATTTTTTTTGATAATCTGAATATTTTTTTCTTGAACTAAAGCACGGAGTCTAGAATCTTCACTGAATGAACATTGAGCTGTAATTAAAACAACATGAATCTCTTATGTAGATGCATAGTACTATATTTACAGAAAAAAAATACTAAATTTGGTAGTCATACTATGTCTAAATTTGGCAAACCTATCACTATAGTAGTTTTCACCATTGGCTTTCTTAAAAATGAACAGATTTATGGATAGATTAGGGAATTACGAAACTACTATATTTCGGAAACCATGAATATCTCCTGAGTGAAGTCTGGAATTGGATATTTTATGTTTATCCAAAAAAGGAAACATAAAAATTGTGACAAAGTGCATTCTTTAACACACCTAAAAAATGAGGATTTTAATTCACCTCACATTAGCTCTTGCCGAAACTTACTTTTGTTTGAAGGGACAAAAGATTTTTGTCTTTACAGCTATGAAACACATAAATAAGTGATATTCAGTCACTTCTTCATGTAGAATTTCAAAATTCTGGTAACTATACAATTATTAAAATGTAAACAATTTACAAATCTCATGCACGGGAAAACAGGCGTTTATCTGGCGACATGTAGCACACCTGGAAAGCCATCAACAGTTCGTTATAATTATTCACCTCAAAAGTTTTTATGTACATTTTATATTAAAGAACAACATTTTTAACGCTAGAGGTGTATTTCTCGGTATACCAACGAGAAAGATATATTTATTTGCCAGCAGATACCAGATAATAATTACACATTTTCAAATAACTAAACTACAAGAACATACACCATACTTATGCCGTTCATTTGTTTATCTAACACGTATTTTGTTTTTTAGATTATTTAATGGTGCTTTATTAAATGCCGAGGCATCAGATTTAAAGACAGTTGTGTATGATGGACTCAGACGATATGGATGAGGGAAGTAGTTCAGAGTTATGTCAA